TGGTTGCTGGGTGACCTGTCTGTGGGTGCTACGAACTGCACCAGGGCACTGGCAAGGCTGTGACCTCTCAGAAAGCGGATCACCCTTACTTTCAGGCCTCACTCCCACACTGCCTGCGGGGGGATTTGAACTGCTAGCCTTAGCCATTTGGACCACCCAGGGACTTTTGGCTAAGGCCCATGGTGGCGGTGGCTAGGTGCTATCAAGTTTGATGTCCATTGTCGCAGCCACTGTGTCACTGTCTCATGGAAGGTCTTCCTCTTTTTCGCTGAGCTTTTAGCTAAGGCTGAGGTTCTGCCAAGCAATGGCGTTCAGTCCAGAGAGCCAGTGGTGCCAGGTGGGGGTTGTGGCAACAGTAATGCGCTACTGGGGGGGAGGCGGGGAGGCATGTCCGGTGTCTGGGCCAGTGGTACAGATGGCAGTGTCCGGTGTGTGGTGTTGGCAGACCATGGTGACCTCCCTCCTGCACCAGCTCTGTGATGTCATTTGGGCAGGGCCTGGTGATGTCGCCCAGCACAGTGACTGCAGGCACTGAAAGCAGCTGGAATGTATTTCTGTTCTTTACTATTGAAAACTCCGGTGGAGAGGGTGACGTGGCCTGCAGGACCTGGCTCCTGCCAATCTCTCTCCTTGCCTGGTGGCTCACTCCCCCTCCATCAAGATGCTGGGCATTGCCTTGTCCTGCCCCAGGCTTAGGGTTCCTGCTGTTTCCTCAGCCTTAGCAGCCCCCGCCCCCCCCCCGCCCACACACACTCCTTTTGTCCTCTCCTGCTGACTCATTCCTACTCTACCTTCCCGACTTGGCTGAAACGTCCCTTCACTTCTTCTGGGAGACCTTCCCTGCCCCCCTCCAAGACAGGCTCAGCCCTCCAATGATCCTCACACTGGTCTTTTCCTTTACAACTGAGCACAACTGTAAGGAGTCACTGGTCCCTGAGGTCCTAGAACAGATTGTATCTCATTTGTCTGCACACAGTCAGGGCCCTGGCAGCCAGTGCTCAAAGAGCTTTCAGCCTAAGTGAACTAGGAGGACGCAGAGGCCATTACAAGGCACACCAAGGGCGGTGGTCAAGGCACACAGCACAGCCAACTGCATCATGGGGCTCAGGGGTCCTCTCAGACTACGCGGGAGGGTTCAGGTTGACAAGGGCAGCTGCAGCATGGATTAGGCAGAACTCTTTCCATCCTGAGTGACAGAGCTCAACGTACGCTGACTTCAAGGAAAAGGGGACTTCCTGGCTTGTATTACTAAGCCTCCGGGAGCAATTCGCTTCAGGCATGGCTGGATCCAGATGTGCTCATTGGAAATCAGCACCCCCCAACTCTCAGCTCTGCTTTCCTGTCTGGGCAGAACTGAATTGATGGCCACTAGTGGCTCCAAACTCGAGATTCTGATGCCCAGGCCTGGGTCAGAGCCTTAGCCCTGGAGTCGGGGACTGGAGTTAGTCCCTCAGAGCCAAAGGGTCTAGGGGTGAAACAGCGATGCCTCTCTCCCAAAGAAAGAGAGGCCAACGAGTAAGCCATGCAGCATGTGTGCTCCCAAGCAGCAGACTACAGTCCAGATCCCCCGAAGAGGCAGCGCCCTCTGGAAGGAAGTTTCAGAGGAAGGACAGGGGGCCTCGGGGAATTCTGGAAGCAGGGCTGCTGAGAGACTCCATAAGCAAACGCTTCAGGGCTGGGGGCATTGGGAGACTCATCTCTCCACTGCAGCTTCTTGGTTGTGTAAACGCTGCAAGACTTCACCTGCTTTACACAAATTGCAAAATCGAGCCTTTGTTGGTTACAAGAGCTGGGAAAAGTCACCCCTTGTCCTCCCTTGCTTCCATGATCCCACCAGTCAGCTGTCAGTCTGCCGTGCTGGCGTGTTGCTGTGAGGCTGGAAGCTGAGCCACCCATATCTCAAATGTGTGGGTCGTAACAGACTATGGGTGCTGGACTGGAAATGCCAGAACACTTCATTGGGTTCATGCAGAACCAGTACATGACCAAGAGGCAGTCTTTGGAAAGAGTGCGGGCGTGGGTTAGAATCAGGAAAGGTGTCCGTCAGCATACTTTGGCCATCTGTGTGCTCAGCAAAGCGTCAGAGAAGTTGGACTAGATGAGGAAGCCAGCACTGGGGTGGAGGCAGGCTCATTGACCACATGTGAGATGCTGACGCTGCCCCTCGCTTGCTGAAAGCAACGAGGACTTGAAGCACTGACCGATGAAGACTAGCCTGCGGTATAGATGGCACCTTAAAGAAAACAGAAATCCTTACAACCGGACCAATAGAAAAAAGTAAATGATCAATGGAGAAAAGACTGAGGCGGTCAAGGGCTTCATTTCACCTGGTCCGCTATCAATGTTCATGGAAGCACGTCAGTAAGTCAACAACACATTGCACTGGGCAGCTGTGTGTCTTTAGAATGTCAACAAGGATGTCACCTAGAGGACTAAGGAGCGCCTGACCCCAAGCCTTGGTCTTTTCAATAAATTCATGTGCGTGCGAAAGCCGGTCAGTGAGTAATGAAGACTGGAGAAGAATCGATGCATTAAATCCGGGTGCTGACTATTAGGAGTATAAAACATAGCCCAGACTTTCAGAAGAATGAACAAAGCCATCTTGGAAGAAGCAGAGCTGGGATATTTCATCTCATGTGCTTTGGACATGTCTGAGGAGGGACCAGTCTCTGGAGAAGGACATCATCTTGGTAAAACAGAGGTCCAGGGGAAAACAGGAAGGCCTGCAGGGAGATGGATTGAGACGGCGGCTACCACAATAAACTCAACCTTCTTAACGACTGTAAAGGGAAGACAGGGCCATGCAATTCTGTTCTCAGATGGGTTGCTGAGTTGCAACCAGCTCGATGGCTCCTAACATGTTTATTATTAAATGCATAATTAAGAGATCTTTACATGTGATTTTGCTCAGTACCACCAGTTGCTATAGATTCTGTCTAATGTGTGTCAAAGTATTACTCCACTTCATAAGGTTTTCAATAGCTGCTTTTCAGAGATAGGCGCCTTCTTCCAACATGCCTTTGGGTGGATTTGAATCGCCAACCTTTTGATTCCTAGCGGAGCATGTTAACCATTTATTCCCACAGGGCTGCCATTGCTAAGTGCTGTTGAATCCATTTAGACTCATAGGGACGCTTTGTGACCGGGTAGACGTGTCCTGTACTACGGGTTTTCTAGGCTGTAATCGTTAGATCAGACGGCTACATCTTCCTTCCATAGAGTCGCTGGTGGGTTGCAACCGCCAGCCTTCCACTTAGCAGCACAGTGTGCACTTCATCAAGGTGCCACTATGGTTCCTTTGGCCACAGCTCCCACCCACCCCCACCCCCGCTGTTCTTCAGCGTTACATACAATGGCAAGGGTTCTGCAAAAAGGCAGCATTCTCTACTGAGTGGCTGGGGGGCTGAAGGCCCTGCATGTTGCTCCCTTCTTGGAACCCTAGGGGCTCTCCACGCTGGGAGTTCTCGGTAAAGGAGCATGTATGGACACGGAGCCTGTGAGCTCTGGCAAAAGGAGGTGTCTGTCCTGTCTCTGTAATGCAGGCCTGGCCCAGGGCATGGAGGACAAGTTGGACAGATGGTCAAAGGAGATTGGTTTTCTTTTGGCATTTGACACTTGTGATTGTCTATCACAAGATCTGGTCAGCACAGCTCATCTGGTGGGTCTGTGGTGAGGGGACTTTTTTATTCTCCTTGAGAAGAACGTGCCGACTCCCCCAGCACTACCTCCTCAGGGCCTGTGATTTCTTACAACTCACACTTCCTGGGGAGGAAGAGCAAGGCCTCAGGTCATATGAAGTTGAGGACAGTGCTCAGACCAGTCCCAGGACCCCTAGCTCCCCACTTGACTGTGTCCAGCGGTGGCCTAAGAGTTTTACATGCATGATCCTGTTTCATCCACTCCTTGGGTTCTCAAGGCTTGGGGGCCAAAGATGTTGGAATTCCCCAGCAGCAGCTGACCTCTTGCTGAAGGGCGGAAAGAATCACTTCTGGCCAATGTCTTGCCTCCCTCTGTACAACCCCCCTCTCCCCCGCACCAATCAGATTGAATTAGGTTTCTGTTATTTCCTAAGTCATTGAGCTTTAATAAAGCTGTGCCAGGCCCATCTGTCTCTGGCTTCACCTCCCCAGTGACACTTCGAGCTTTCTCTAGGCCACTAGCACAAATCACATAGCTTCCTCATGTGCCAGGCGTAGCCATTCTTGCGCATCTACTTTCCATTCTCCAGAGCCCCCTAACCTGTTGCTGAGCCAGTGCTCTCTGAGGGACCCTGGAAGAGAGAAGGGTGGCCCCAGAGCATTTCCAAGGGTGTTGGGTTTCCAAAAGCAGACAGTCACACATCTTTCTCCCCATGTGGCTGATGGCTCCAACCACCGGCTTTTCTCACCAGCAGTTGAGTACTGGATCACTGCACCACCAGGGCTCCCAGTAACCTCTGCCCAAAGGGAGATACGGCTCCTTCACCCTGAGGCCCAGAGCAGTTCATCAAGATCACACACCCCAGCAGTGGCAGAGCTGAGGTCTGACCCCTGGCTGCTAGTTCCGGGACCTGGAAGGATTGTGTGTATGTCTTTTGCTACTGCACCAGGCTGCCTCTCCAGAGTCAATGCCTTCCCAATCCATGGGTTCTCAGAATAAGAGGGATCCTGATTTGAAGATGGGAATCATTGGCTCAAATTCCTGGGTGCCACCAGAATAGCCAAAATAAGAGATCGGCAATACCAACTGAGAGTAAATGGAGCTCTTATACCGTGCGAATTCATTTGGTGGATAAGCATAAGGTTGCTAACCACAAGGTCTATGCTTCAAACCCAATTGCCTTTCGGGAGAATGAGGCTGTCTGCTCCTGGGGGGAGCTGTATAGGACCACTGAGTCAGAATCGACTTGATGACAATAGGTTTAGAGCTTTAGACAAGGTAAATATATAGTTCCTCTATGATGCAGCAATTCTACGCCTAGGGGTGTGTGTGTGCACATGTGTGCGCTGATGACATGTACAGGAATTTTCACAGCAGCTTTATTTATAATAGCCAGAAACCAGTCAATCATCCATCAACAGAATGGCTAAACTGTGTAGTCATATAATGCACTACTATGCAGCATGATAAACATAAGCTTCTGATACACACAATGACATGGACAGCTCTTACAGGTATAACATGAGACCGCAGAGAGCTGAGTCCACTTTTTACAGTCCAAGAGCAGGCAGAACTGCAGTAGGAGGGAGAGGCTGGCTAAAGACAAGAGAGCTCCTGGGAGATTCGTGTGGACGATTAGGGTCCTGCACTTTCCTCTGGAGCAGGCTGTCCAGTGGGGTACACATCTATGTGGTTTTATCAAGTACGCATATGGTATAGGTTCATCAAGTTGTATCCTAAAAATTGGCGGCCACTACTAAACTTATGCTGGATCTTAAAGACTCAAGGGAAAACATGAAGATGTGAAAACGAAACATTCTCAGGTCTGGTGGACAACAGTGGTTTGTGCCCGCTCGCAGCCACTCCACCTTTTCCTTTTGGGGGTGCAGCAGCACTCCTTTGTCAGCGTGCAAGCGAGCGGGCACCTCTCTGGCTTTGGACGTGAGCAGCCAACCCAGGCCTGCATCAGAGCACTGCCTTCCTCTTGCCACAGTGACCAGTGAGGGGTGGGGCAGGGCCAAGCTGACTCAAGAGCTGACCCCAGAACGTTCGTTGGGAAAGGCAGAGGTGTTCTCCCACTGTGGCTGCCAGCCTGTCAGGAACAAGCCTGCGGCCACCAGTACCCATCTTGCCCGCTCTTGGCGAGCCACAGAGGCAAGCAGAGCGAGAAGAAGTTATCCATGTCCTTGGGGTTTTCATAATGCCAATCAATTCATTCCCTTCTTTAGCTAACCACTATGATTCGGTTTTCTTAATTATAATCAGAAGCTATGATCCTGGGAATCTTGGGTAAAATGATGAGTACTGTAGGAGGCAGCTTGGAGCGAAAAATAAGCATTAAGTGTCACATCCCTGCTTGGTGGGTGTTGCCATTGCTCCTACGAGCTGTTCACGGCTGAGGCCATGGCCCTCTCTGGGGCTGGGGAAGCAGGCCCCAGGAGTCGTCTAAGGACGACTCTGGACCTAGCGTGGAAGGGCCCTGGCTTAGAAGTCTACCAAGCAGGCAACCCTGGCAAATCATCACTACGTTCCTTGAGCCTGCGTATTTCTTTGTAAAATAGGAGTTACAACTTAGCTCAAGAGGTTGACATGAAAATCCAATGTAATGTGTTGAAATGCTAGTTTCTCAATTTCTCCAGCTGTTTCACATCCTTGCCAAATTAGTTCCCACATCCTGAGCATTCCTACAAGAGCCCTCTATAAATATGAGAGGTACAAAAAGTTCATGGACAAATTCTTTTTCCCTTGCATTATTGAAAAATTTTAGAAACTGTAACTTTCATGAACATGTAATTCACATACCATACAATTCAATGGTTTAAATCCGCATTATCTTTTAATTCCATTTTCCACAAACCATCTGAAGCCCTTTTGTAACCCTCTGACCCATTGTCATAGTTATTTTCACCTGTATGTGAGCTCCCCAAGGACAAGTGTCCACCTCCACCTCACCACCTTCAGAACCAGCTGGCACACAGCGGGCAGGCACTCCCAAGCCCAGCCTGAGAAGTCTGGTTAATGGCCTGGCGTGTACTCACCCTGTCCCTTCCTTTCTCACCTGGAGAATGGGGTCAATTCTGACAGCTGGGGTATTGTAAAGCCACTCCGGGGGAATGGCTGAGGCAGTCGTGCTTGAGAGGCTGAAAACCAAGCATCCAGCTGGGACCATGCGGGTTCCAGGTGAGTGGGAAAGGGGAGCCTCGCTGCCTGGGTGCTGACCTCAACTCTGGCTGTCTGCCACCTGGGCTGCTGGGGCCAAGACTAGTGTAGTCCCTCCTTCCTCAGCACCTTTCTGGTCCACGGAAAAGGATCTTCAGGCCTGGGCTAAGTCCCACGGGACAAACTTCTGTGTAAGAGGCCAGCAGGAAAAGTCACCTCGGCTTGTGCACCCTCACCCATTCATGCCTCAAGACTACACGACACCTGCCCTGGGCACTGGATGCAGAGGAGTGAGGCCCAGTCATTGGCCTGGAGAGCCACATGGGCCCGAGCCTCCCCATGGCCTCCCTAGCTCCTTCCCGCCCCCAGCATTCCTGCTCCACGCTGCAGTGATCCTTTCAAAACAGAAAGCTGATCCCCAGCTTAACTCCTCCTAAGTTGTCCTTGAGGCCCTGTGCAACAGGGGGAGGGGGCTGAATGGATGAGGACGGTGTTGGAGTCTCAGGGACCCAGGAGACTTCTAGATCTCTTCCTGTCCTAACTCTCCAGGTCAAACCTGCGGGCCCTGGGAGTCTGAGTGGCATGATGGTGACAGGTCAAAACAGACACACTGGATCCAGTAGCACTATGGTCCCCAATTCCCAGTTGTAGGCTGGCTCGTGGGAGAAATTCTTTATTTGAATGCGTCAGTGACCACGAGGCACAGAAGCTTGCATGCGTGCACACACACACACACACACACACAAAAGCTTGCATGCGTGTATACACACACACACACAATGTAAAGGCATTTTCATAGGCAAAAGGAAGAGGAGTTGGACAGCAGGCTACAAGAGCAACTAGGGGCTTTTTGGACCCTATGAAGAGGAGTCAGGGATGGTGTCACTCCCTAGAATTCTTGCTTAAAAGTAACAAAGAGAAATCCGCTTTCAGCCCCAGCCCACCAAACCCAGAGTTGAAGGATCTCAGTTTGGGGCCTGAGAAGATGCTTCCTCACTGGAGAAACCTGTACCACCTCTCCATTCCTTCCTTGGGAGCGCCTTTGGCCTCCTTGGTACCCAGATATCTCCTGGCAGAGAAAGGCTAGCACCACAGCTCCTAGGCAAGCAGTCTGCTACACATGGAAAGGAGTGGGCCAGTAGGTCCCAAGGGCTGCAGTGACCCCTGGGCTGGCTGGCATAAGGCAAGTTGCCTTTAGGGCACAGAACTATCATGAAAACTTGCATGTGGGGGACACATCCCTGGGTCAAAAGTGTCACTTGAGCCCACTGGAACTAAGGCCTTCTCTGGCTCCAGTTGGCCCCCCAGCTGCTGCAGCTCCTTAGCACCATTCAGGGACCATGGAGACGGGGCAGGAGAGAGCGCAGTGCTCAGTTAGGGCTGTGTCCCTGCTCCAGGAGATTGCAGTGGGCAGACCCTGTACAACTGGCCAGCATCTGGTCCTGGCTCAAGAGAAGCTGTCATTTTTAGGGAGGAAGAGTGTTTCATCACTACTAGCTACCATGTTGTAGCCACTTTCACCTGGCATTTCCCACTCTGTCCAGAGTCTGGCATGAATGTCATATGTTTCCTGCCTCTCCCAAGACAGGAGCGTCCCAGAGCCCAAGGAGAGCTAAGGTCTCCAGCTGCAGATTTGTCCCAAAGTGACCTTCAGAGCAAAACTAGGTCCTGCAGTCTTGCAACTATGGCCTATAAGGCTGGGGAGGAGGACGGTCATCCTCCAATTTACCACCCAGTGAGTCCCCAGTCCAATTATAGGGGCTCGGGCCAAATGGAGGAACACAAGTAGGGGCAAACTGGGGTGGATGACTGCAACTGCCTGGATCAATCACAGGTTGCAGTGGTCCAATCCAGGTATACGTACTCCGTGGTAGGAGAGGCAACGGGAGCCCACAGAAGCCCAGTCATGGATGCTGGCTCATGGCTCGTCGAACCGGGAATGCTGGGTCGAAACATCTCTAATTTTCAAAGGTGGTGGAGTCTTTCTGAATGGGTTGCCCTTGCACTGGAATCTGGCCCAAGGGTAATGCCATTACTTTGGGTGACCTGTAATTGAAGGAACAAAGGGCAAGAGTCAGTGTGTGGTAGGGTTATGAACATGTTCCAACTGGTTCGTTCATTGACACTATGGCTCTTGTCGGCCGGGCTTGGAGTAGTCATTCAGCCTGGCAGCTCCCTTCCCCTCGTGCCTGCAAGGCATGGTTCGGGGTGTGTTGTTCCCTTCATTCTAGCTCGTCCTTGCAGCAGCAGCAGCTCTACACATGGGGCTTAGACCCACCACATCACAGAGGAGCAAACAAGAATTCAGAAGTTTACATTACTTGCCCTAAGTAAGTCTGGAAGTGGAAGCTTCAAGGCGTGGCCTCATCCTGTCCCACATTCCCCTTCACACCAACCTGCAGTGTCTCTCCTGACACACTTCATCCACTCTCTGGGTGACTCCACTACTTGCCATTGTCTTATAGGATCTGCCTCTGCCCCCAGAGGGAGGACTCAGAAGATTAGGGGCATTTTGGCTTTGTTTCTAGTATAGTGCCAGCACCCAAAACAGGGCCTGGTACACACAGGTGATAAATGAGTTCCCCTGGAATCACTGAAAGCTCACCTCTAGTAGTCTAGAACCTTACTAGTTCTATATCCTTGACACATACAGCAAAACCTGTGACGGCTAGAAGTCATGTAAGGTAGAACCTACCAGAGAAAGATAATGCGAGTCTTTTCCACTAACAGAGACCGACAGAGAGGGGCTAAGACTGCACCATGTCAAAGGTGAGGATTACTTGTTCTGAGGAAAACTTGCCAGGTCCAGAAAACTAGGCAGTCCTGGTAAGTTCCGGCTCTCATAGGCTTCACTGAAACCCTAATCCTCCCATTAGCCTGGACGGGAAGCTAATTAGTTCCATTTGGTAGAGGCAGAGCAAAAAAGGAATGGACTTTGGAATCAAACAGGTCTGAATCCTGGAGCTATCTCCAAGCAACTGTGTGGCCTTGGACAAGTTATTTATCCTACCTGGCATTAGGTTGTACTACGAGGGGTTCTAGTTCAGAGCTGCCATTGAGAAGGAAATATGAAATTTACACATTCAACGAATAGTAAGTATTATCATTATAGCTAGATGTTTATCATTGCAAATCAGAGAGGTTCACTGACTTATCCCAAGTCCCACAGTGGAAAGCGATAGAAGAGAGCAGTTAAAACACTGGTGTTTTCCAGTCTAGGTAGCCTCAAGGCAGTCTGAGGAGCACTGAGAGTACAGTGTCCTGGCTGGCTCTAGGTACTCTGCAGAAATTGCTACCAGCCAGCTGCCAGGAGGTATGCTGAAACACTGTATGAGCTCCAGGCTGGGCTGCTGAAGTCCGTCCCTCAAAGGCCTCCCAAATGAAAAACATACAAGAAGCTCTCTGCTACCAAGTAGGAAAGAGGACGCGCAATGCAGTAAACTATTTAACATGGCTCATCTAGTCATAGTCTTTGTGATTCCCACTTAATGATCTTTGTATTCCTGATGAGTCTGGCTATGATCGTGGAGGAAGACACAGAGTCGGGTGTCTCTGGATACTGACTGGATTATATACGTAATTGCACTGTGAGTGACTGCTAACAGGGTTAACTGTAATTGACATCCTGCTGGATATAAAATCAGTCATTTCAGAAGCAGGGGAGCTTGTCATTTGGATCTTAAGATCCGTGTGCATTGAACCTCCTTGATCCAGGAGACCACAGTGACACTAAAGGAGTGGCAGGGGAGCAGCTAAACGGGAATCAGGAGCCAGCGCATGAGACAATGTAACAGACTTCCCAGCCCAGAGAGAAAGTAACGCTGAGTGCTTTGGGACACCAAGCTGGCTTATGGAGTGGGGTGCCTCTGGACACTTAATTGGGGTAGCTGGGTTTGCTGACCAGAGCTGGAACTGAGTGCCTTTGGGGTTGAGGCTTACAGTAGAGTGGCATGCCCTTTGGGCATTTATTGGCAGCTCTATAATGGAACTTTGTAAGACTTCCTGGCAGGGCAGAGGCCAGCCCAAGGGGCTGTGGGTCAGAGGTGAGGCCTGTCTACAGGCACAGCAGATAAGATTGTTCTGACTTAACAACTAGATCCTAAGCATTTCTCACCTGAATTGCAACCTGCTAACTTCCCGAATAAACCCTATACCTGTGAGCATTATCTGTGAGTTGTGTGTGGTCATTGCAATGAATTATGAACCCAGCTGAAAAGTAGATAGAGCTGTGGGAGGGATAGTTTGGTGTCAGAGTTGGTAGGCAGGTTGGAAACATCTGACATCTCCTTGCGGCAATCAGCCTTGAGGGCTGGAAGAGGTCAGATGTGGTTCCCAAGCCATTTATTTCTTCAAGACTATAGGCAGATTAGAAAGGACCAAGGATAGTTTTGGATCCAACATTCTGTTTCTACCATCTTTAATTCATTTGGTTCAATGAACAATGCAGACTCAAGTAGAAGGAACCACTTTAACAGGTTTGCCTCCCTGAAAATGGTTTCCTTGTCTGTAAAACAGAGCTAGTTCTGATCTTAGGAGTTTATGTTGTAAGGAGCAGACAAGAAGACTCCCAAACCCTGGCTCACTGATCACAAAGTACATTTCCCTTCAGAGAGGCTTCAATAGGACCATGGGGCTCCTCCTACCAGGCCCTCTCCTCTTCCTCACATGGCACCACAACCCTTTCTCAGCAGGATGTGCAGGCAGGAACCTGGCTGTGGAGCCAAGCGGCCTCTGACTCAGTGCACCACTTCACATGGTGGTTACCCATTTCTGTCAAATGGGGATAGGAATGCCTTCTGTCATGGATTACCTGAGAGAATTCGCTTGGTGTGTGGCCTCCAACATAATAGGGCTCAATGAGTATTAGTCATTTTCAAGATGATTAAGAGTTGTGAGACCAGCACCACTGTTTATGTTTCGCTTAAAGCACATATCCTCATTACTAGTTGTTTGCTTGCCTGGTATCTGTCACCTCCCATCAAATGTAAGGGCCTGGGAGCAGGGCTTGGGTCTGTCTTGACCATCACCCAGATGGTATGAATGTTTGATCAAGGAAAGAAAGAACCTGGTACATTTAGCAAGTGCCCGTCGAGGGAGGTCCTGCCACAACACTGATGGCAATAGAGACTCGGCTCTTTAGGTCAGTGATACAAATGCTTCTAAGGTTGCTCCAGGCCAGGAAATCCAGGCACTTTTAAGGCGACCATCAAGGAATTCAGCTTTACTTTTTTAGCAAACCCTTTAGTCCAGGCAGTCCACAGGTTGGAGAGAAGCTGCTGTGAGAAGAACTTAAGAGAGGAGACATTTCTTTTTGTGAACTGGTCTCTCTCCTGATGACAGGGTTCCATTTTATGAGAGTAGCTGGCTTGGGCTCTCATGCAGAGGCCCTGAGCTCCTGCTGTTGACCCTTGGATTTCAAAAGATGGTTACTCACTGGTTCTTGTGCTTGAAGCCGCTGACATGAGCTTGGTATTGTTCTATGGAGTTCAGCACTATCTTACACGTCTTGCAGGGGTAGCCCTTCCCAGCTGAAACACACAACAAAACCAAGATGTTATCTAGTCAGCAGGCCCAGGGACTGTTATTTCTGACAGTCTTATAGATGCCTTTCTGATAACTGATGGGTGGGATAAGGATAAGCAATAGGTCCTGATGGGACCAAAAGCCTTAGTGCTTAGGAGCACACTATACTTGAGGATTGAAACTTCCTTGTTCCCCTGTGTATCCCAGTGCTCCCAAAACACCAAACTCACTGCCATTGAGTCAATGTTGACTCATAGGGATCCCGCTGTGGGTTTCTGATACTGTACCTGTTTATGGGAGTAGAAAGCCCAGTCTTTCTCCTGAGGAGCTACTGGTGGTTTCCAACTGCCAACCATACAGATCTAAGTCCAACATGTAACACTACACCACCAGGGCCCCCAGTCCTTGCCCTGAGTAATGACAGAACAAAGAGGTGACATTTGGTTTACTGTCTTCTCCACCTTGACTGTGATAAGCAGTCCATTAAGGATGCTCACCACTGAAAGGAGTCTCTGGGAAGGTGCCACTCCCCCTGGACTTGTGATGACTGTGATTCATGAGAATACCTGCTATAAAAATCAGCACCTTGACTACCAGGGTTGCTCCAATAATAAAGTGGCCTCTTTTCCCAAGTCTAGCAGAGATGGTTTGAGTTAGGAGTCTATGGTTGGGTTTGTGTGACTTTAGCTAGATCTTTCCCCTCTGTCATACTCAGCTTTTCTCAACTGCAATCCAATTGTACCACAACTTACAATCATAATAGTTACTGCCATTTACCAAATGCCTGACATATGCCATTCCCTAGATGTAGTTGTTTTGTCTGTATATTACTTTTTTTTCTTGTAAGATGACTTTCACATATTTCTGGTTTATGTACTTCATATATTGTAAGGTTACACACACACACACACACACACATCAGGAGCTGTTGTGGAGTAGTCATTATGTGTTGGGCTGCTACTTCTAAGGTCTGCAGTGTGAAATTACCAGCTGCTCTGCAGGAGAGAAGGGGCTTTCTACTCCTGTAAAAAGTTAGTTTCAGAAACCCACAGAGGGAGTTCTACCCTGTCCTACAGTCACTTTGGATTGGAATCGACAAGACGGCGGTGAATTTTGTGTCTGAGCTATATATATGTGTACTTGTGGATGTATGTACACACACATATACATATAGATGAACCCACTGCCATCAGTCCATTCTGACAAAGCAGCCCTGTAGGACAGAACAGAGCTGCCCGGGAGAGCTTCCAAGGCTGTACTCTTTATGGATGCATACTGTCACGTCTTTCTCCACAGCACAGCTGGTGGGCCTGATGCACAGATTTTTTTCGGTTAGCAACCAAGACAGTAACATGTCCCATGAATATAGAGTCAGTAAGTGGCAAATTCAGGTTTGACTGACTGAAAGGGTTGGGTTTATTCTAGCATGGCAGGTACTAGCTGTAAGAAAAGCCTCCCCCACTTCCCCACACCCACACACGACTTTCAGGGTCCTCTGGTTCTGACACCTGACAAGCCATCTGCCATCCTGAAGTCTCAAAGTTTTGGAGTGAGATCCCCTATGTCACAAACCCAGTTTTACCATTGCTTGGCTTGGGATCACAGGCTAATTATTTCTTAGACTTAGTTTTCTCATCTGTCAATGTAGGGCTTCTCTGAGACATATGTTCCTCATCTATACAATGGGGCTACTTAGATCAACCTCATAAGATAATTGTAATGATTTAAGTAAGTCCATTTGCCACATAGTATGCAATTGACAGGAGGGTTTGTGGCCATTGTTCTAGTCTCTGAGCTCTCTAAGTCAGAGGGAGGAGTAGAGGGGATCTTTGAAACAGCCTTTACAGTAGCTTCAGTTACTGAGAAGATTAATAAGTCAGCCAATGTTTCCAGCTATGTTTGTTTTCCTTGTATCTTGAGGTGTTTCTCGGAAGACATTCTGTCCCTTTAAAGATTTAAGAACAATAGTATTTCTTTCAGAATTCAGGCTCCTTTTCAGATAACACTTATAGTGGGATCGGGACTGGTATGAGGATGACAACTAACAATGGTTAAGAATCACCAACATCTGGGCCAGAGTGGGGATCTGTGCCTGGGTCTGACTGTGAAGCCCATTCTTCCCCATGCACTATAGGTCTCCGGGCTCCCCTCTGCCCTCTCTGAGGTACACGAGCTCAGCACACTCTCGCTGAGCTGCAAAGTACATTCAAACCATCACGTGGGGGCCATTGCAGAATCTACTCCTGTTCCTAAACAATGAATCTAATACGCACATGAAGGAATTTTCATCTACTGTCTTATAAATGTCTGATATTTTGGTTTACTTTATGATATTATGATCTATAAGTCACTAGATCTGGCTTATTGGGGAAAAACCTGTCACCCAGTCAGTTGGTCCAAGTTTTCCTTCTATTTCTCTTTCCTCTCTAGGTTTCATCTGTATCTTCTCTTCCCTCGGTCAAGCCTTTGGAAAGAACCGTCTACACTGGTTTCTCCTTTGCAACAGTCCCCCAACCTACGCACGTACATAGAAATGATCTTTCCAAGGTCAAAAGTGGTTTCCAAGCATCTGAATTCAATGGACAAACTGCTCTCTATTGTGCACTATTGTATTTGATCTTTCAGCAGCATCTGATAAGATTGACTACACTTCCCTTCTTTAAACCATCTCAGTCCTTGGCTCTTAGCATACCATACTCTTGAATTCCCACCTTCTCTGGCTGCTCCTTTTAAGTCTCTCTCGCTATCTTCTGCTGTAACCACCATTAAATGTTGACATTCCAAAGGGCTATGTCCTAGACTCTTAGCTTTTCTCCCTAAATCATCTAAGGACTCTCATTCATTCCCAACTTTAAAAACCACTCATTAAATTAAAACATATGAAATTACCACCAGTTTCTGACCTACAAAAGTAGAAATTTTATATATGGTTCAACCTAACATGATAGCAACATACATCTTTCCATCTAATCACTTTTGAGCTTTAGAACTACACACATAGTTGTAAAAGTATGTGTAACATCTGCCAGTTAATATTTTTAAGTATATTATAATTTAATGAAATCAATTATATTAACTACTTGCCCTTTTAACATTTCTGCTCCAATGTCTAGTGGCCATCTCAAATTCAATGTGACAAAATCTGGTCATCTTCCTAGTAAGCCTGGGCACCATCCCTGCCTGCTCCTTTCCCCCTAGTCTTCCGCATGATGACCAGGTCTTAACAACTCTACTTCCTACCCACCTCTTGAATCCCACGGCCTGCACTGCTACCTTAGTCTAAGTGCTCATGCAGTGCGTGGTCTCTATGAGAAACTCAGGTTAGTCTCTGTACATTACCCTTCCAGGCCATTCCAAACTATTCTCCATGCTGGAACGATCCCCCCAAATGCCCAAACTGTCCATGGCTTTCCAAGGTTGCTAGAATAAAGCCCAGGTCCTTAACAAAATGCTATGGTGGACACTTGCTCATGTACCTGGCCTCATTTGGCTCTACACTATGCCTTGTCCTCTGGGAAGCCTTCTTTAATCCTGCTCCCTCCATCTTCTGATAGCTCCTTTAATTTTATGTGCCCCTAGCACCCCTTTAATCTCCTGTTCCAAGATTTGTCACATCTGTAATTATCTGCTCAATGCCTGTTTTCTCAGTTAAGACTTTAAGCTCCATGAGAACATGGTCAATCCCTGTCTTATTTGCTTTCTTATACATTGCCTGATAGGTAAGAAAGACTTCAACAGATACTTGGCAGCTATATATTAGTTATCAAGGCTAAGGCCATATTTTCCAACTACCAATTCTTCTTCGTTTCCAATTTTCAATCACCAGTAGTAATTAACAATACACCTTGATTATGTGTTTGATCAATTTCAGACTGAAGTTGGTAAAATCTTCAATTTCTTCACCTTTTGGCATTAGCAGTTGGTGTATAAATTTGAATAGTAATATTAATTGTTCTTCCTTGTAGGCATATGGATATTATTCTGTTACTGACACCATTGTATTTTAGAACTGATGTTGAAATGTTCTCTTTGACATTAAATGCTACACTGCTTTTGTTTTTGTCATTCCTGGCATAGATCATATAACTATCTGATTCAAAATGGACGACACAAGTTTGTTTCAGCTCACAAATGCCTAGGATATTAATCTTCAAGTGTTCCATTTAATTTTTGACAACTTCTAATAATTCTTTTCTTAAAAAATTAATCATTTTATTGGGGGGGGGTCCTTACAAATCTTATGACAATCCATCATTCAATTGTATTAAGCACACTTGTAAATATGATGCCATCAACATTTTGAAAACATTTTTTTTATACTTGAGCCCTTGGTATCAGCTCTTTTTTCTCCCACCCCCATGAATTCTTGATATATTATCATTGATATTTTGTGTCTTACACTGTCCATTGTCTCCCTTCACCCATATTTCTGTTATTTGTCCCCCTGGGGAGTGGGCTATATATCCAACCTTATGATGGGTTCCCCCTTTCTCCCCACATGCCCACCCCACCATCCCTCTACCCTCATGATATTGCTTCTCCCACTACTATTCCTGAGGGTTTTGTATGTCCTGAATTACATGTATTGAGCGCTCTTATCAGTACCAACATGTGTGCTCTGGTGTAGCCAGATTTGTAAGGTAGAACTGGGTCTTGGTAGGGGAGGTAGGGGAAGGAAGCATTCAGGAACTAGAGGAATGATGTGTTTCGTCAGTGCTATATTGCAACCTGGTTGAATCGTCCCTTCCTCGAACCCTTCTGTGGGGAATGTCCAATTGTCTACAGATGGTCTTTGGAACTTCATTCCAACGCCCCTCACTCACATCGATATAATTGTTTGTTTTGGATCTTTTGATACCTGACCCCTGATCCTGTCAATACCTTATGATCATACAAGCTGGTGTGCTTCTTCCATGTGGGCTTACTTGCTTCCCTGCTAGATGGCTGCTTATCTAACTTTAAGCCTTTAAGACCCCAGATGCTACATCTATTGATAGCCGGGCAC